CTTTTTGGGACTTTTCACTGGTATCTTCTCTACGAGATTTGTCGACGAAATGACTAGACTGTAGACTCTAGCCACCTTCCAACCCAGATCCGAATTTTGTATCGTCTTTACGGCTGGCTCACAGAGCATAGCCTTAAACGAGGTGGATCGGCATTGGCCAACCTGTAATGAGTTTTCCACTTGAATTCCTTCACTGTCCTCCCCTCCTAGGCTGGCAATGTTTAGTAGATGCAGAATTAATTCACGATTTAAAACCACAATTTTAGCATTATAAACTACATCCTTGTCTTCTACAACCCCGGATTCTCTTCCCGGCCTATCTGTCTCAAAATAGGTGCATCAATCAACTTGGCCTCCCATTTGTCCCTACCGTCGTGAATGTGGCTCTGCAAGTCGACCACAAGGAACTTGAGTGCCAGAGGGCCCAGATTAACAAGCCTTGTTTGGAGGCTGCCAGATTCACTCATTCATCCCGGCCCTCACACCGCCGGTCACATCACCAGCCTTACCGCAACCAGTCGGGTCGGCTCGTGGCAGTACCGTTCGCCGATAGGTCCGTGGAGCTTTCCAGGCAATCTTCGAACTCCCGGGAGTCCAGGGTAAGCAAACAACGTCGCCTCCAAGATTGTGTCGACCTGGATTCTGCCGCAGACTGGGTGTCCGATTCAGTACTCCCCGATTCCCCATGCTCACTTCGATCAAAGTCTAGTTCAGAAGTCTTAGCGGGTCTTGCAGTTAAGCCGGTTGGCAACGGTGAAGTGGCTTCAGTCAACTTCTGCAAAGGAGCAGACGCGCTCGATGGTCTCAGCAAAGTGGATGCTTCAAGCGGCGTTGGTTCTGGTGGCGATGATGGTGGTGGTGATGGTGTTGCCTCTGGCACTGGTGAGACTGAAAGTGATACTGTTGGTCCCAGGGCTGGTACTACCGAAAGTCAGCAAATCAGGGCTACAGATGTAGCAGATGTAGGCGTCAGGGTTGGTGAGACACAAGATCAAGTTATGCACTGCGCAGAGTCGGTCTCTTGCACTCCTGGTCCTGAAGGTGAACATGGTCACGTGTCGTCCTCCGACCAGACCCATCAGTCTCACCGGTCACGACCAAGACCACGATCACGGCCACCACCTTTTCCACCCTCGACAACGTCGACATTAATTTCGATGCCCGCCTCACCGCCTCACATTCGGAACTCTCCACAGACGAAAGGTCAAACTGACGCCCCTCAGTTGGCCAAACGAAGTGCTGCTCAAGCCTTCGTCAAGCCTCAGGTTCAAGCGCAAAAGACGGCAGTTCTTACGGGCAGATCGCTGGCCGATCTAATCCAACGGATTGCCGCTCCCAACGTCAATGTTGTTCATCTTCCTCAGGTTAGTGCCTCCCTTTATCTATGAAGCGCTTTCTTATACACATTTTGGTGGCCTTGCACAATGAGACATTTTTTAGTACTCCTAATCCCTATTCAGGTTCCCGTTACCACTGCCACCTATCTCGTAGGTATGCAAGCCAAGATGGTATGTCCTCGTTCTTGCAGGTCTTCCTGACACTACGGCCGAATTGCAAACCAGGTGAAACCAAAAGGTGCGTATATGACGAAGAGCCGGGCGTTGTGTGACTCGACTTTTCCTTTCGAAAGAAATGTTGAGTCATAGGATTTTGTGAATTGGTCTCATCGGAAACCGCAGGAGTAACTTGGAAGATTAAGTCATTGACTCTCCATACTGCCACTTTGATGAACCCATGCCCAGCTCTCGTCTGTCCCATGTGACAAACATTGTCGAGCGAGAAACCATACTTTACGAAAAATGACATTAATCTACTAAATCAGGCGGAAAAGTTTAGTGTATTTGTGCGGTTTTTGATGCAGCTATCGGGGTCGCAGAATGATGAGCTGATGAATTTTTCGCCCAATACGAAAGTCTCCACTCCTTCGGTTTTCGATAAGGCCAACTACGAAGATCTACGAATTAAAAGGTCAAGTCGCACTAGACCCAAAGTTGTTTATGAGCGACTTGCAGAATTCCTCATTGAAGATCTACTAATGGATTAAAAATAAATACAGATGAATAGTGAGGTCTTCGAGTGTAGTGGCAGTTGTAAGGTTGCCTTATTCACCTCATGGTTCCATTATAAGTCACGACTCTGGAGAGTCCTGACTTACCGTGAAAATCCCATCTGCCCTTTCATCACTAACCAAGTGGCAACATTGCTTCTTGTTGGAGTACCTTACATTTCGTTTGATGAGATGAGTGGAAGGGATTCGTAAGTTGGTTCCACCGTAGGCGGGGGTGGTTGCCTTGGAGCTGTTGTAGATTTGTGCGAATATGTCCTCGGCGCACCGCCCTGCGACCCCTATGAATCTTTGCTGAGCTTTCGTCTGTTGTGACGGACACCGTCAGAGCAGGACACTATGGTTAACGATAATTCATCAAAATCACCACTTCTGACTTGCTTATATTCGATCCTTTTAAAGGTGGGCCCTTTTTTGCGAGTTTAATTTGGCTGGGAATTATCGCAACTATTGTAGCAAATAACTTCGGACAAAATGTGTCAAACTAGACTATCCTGACAACACGACCAAGTTGGGAAAACGGGGCTAGACCATTAACATCGGAGGGAGACTGATATCAGAGCGGAGGCTACAACATCTTGGTCTTCATGTGTATGACTAAAATTATTTTGAGTTTATTAATATTCTTACTCAAGCTCTGATATATTTTCGAAACACTTACGTACTTTGCCAACCATCCTACTCTTTTAAATATTAGTAGAGAGGGTTGTACGGGTAATACCTACCTCTTTAAGTTCACATAATAATCATCTGACCCCAGAATGGTGTATTAACGATGCTGCTCAATTAACTAAGACTTAACGTCATGATCTCCAAAGATTATCTTAAGAAAGTTGATATTATTGTAAACACAATGACATTTGGTCCAAAGATCAGTCAATCGAGGTGCACAGTTTATGCAGAGAGTTTGGCAAAGGGGAGGATCTCTTCTTCTAGATAAGTTAGCAGAAGAAGTCTGTTCACCATGTCCAAGGAACGGGGACTAGGATGGCGCTGCCGCACTATTTGGGTATTTTCTCTGTTGGTCTGGCCTTGTTTCTTCTTCGAATGTTGAGAGGTGAGATCGAAGAGCTTACTCCTTGTCATTGTACAACGCTGGACTGGGCCAAACTTCCAATGTGGCTGAAGCAAAATACTAGACTGACGGTGTACACGACCTACTCAGCGTGGGCCAAATAGCTGAGGATTACCGTCGTTTCAGGCGGTTTTTTGGCCCAGCTCCAAAGTTCACAAGATTTCTTCAACCCAAGCCGGGGCTCTTTGCTGCACTGGGGCAGTGTCGTTTTCTTCACATCTTATTCTAGAGCATGCGGACAAGCCTGGGAAAAAGAGAGAGCAAGAAGGAGGTAGAGAGAGAGAGATTTTTCTACTTTACCCGACTGCTATGCTGTCATACAAAGCCTAACACTCCCTCCGCGCTTCATTACTCTGGTTCTTCCTCCACTGTACATGATTTCAAGCCAGCATATTCG